CTCTTCTCTTCTTCTTCTCTCTCTCGTCTCTCTCTCTCTCTCTCTCTCTCTCTCTCTCTCTCTCTCTCTCTCTCTCTCTCTCTCTCTCTCTCTCTCTCTCTCTCTCTCTCTCTCTCTCTCTCTCTCTCTCTCTCTCTCTCTCTCTCTCTCTCTCTCTCTCTCTCTCTCTCTCTCTCTCTCTCTCTCTCTCCCGTCTCTCTCTCTCTCTCTCTCTCTCTCTCATTGCACCAGGCGCGCGCGTACGTGCGAGTGATCTTTTTCTTACGTCGGAAAGGAACGAGAAATAAACTTCATTACCGCGATGAAACGTTTGGCTACGTTGATCTTTCGTCTGACATTGTTGTAAGAGTTGATGCAGTTGCATGGAAGCATGGAAAAGTGGTCGTTGTTTCGACGTACGTTATTACGACGTACGACATTAGATTTGTATAATTTTAGTAAAAATTAGTTTGTAATTTAGCTTACTTATGCTCCACGGGTGTCCCCGTGAACGTTGATCCGAGCAGCTCTGATCCGAGCAGTTCATGACCGGGAGCAACACTAGTAGCGCTGCATACGGCACGAAAAAACATAGCATGGCATTTCTGTATAGGATTCGTTTAGTACTTGCGTGCGACGCGAATAAGGTTGAAGAAGGTTAGAACGATGGATACGCCACTTTCTACTAATGTTATTTTATGCTGCGACGAGTAACGCTAGCCTAAGTGCTTTTTCTGGAAACCCCACCGCCGCCTTTCACTATCCTCACACCGCATTCATGTATGCGCACGCGCTGCTGGGAGTTTATCGGGCTTTCCGGCGGTTTAACGATTGGACACAAACTCTACACTATATAAACCAGCTAGGTTATACTAACTACTACGGCGCGACGCGTCTCTGTGAAACGGGGGCACGCATTCGTCTTTGTCCGCCATCTTATAGCCGGACTCACGCTCGCTGCGTGATAGATGGATCACGCTGCGGGGACGTTGCTGGAATAAAGCGAGACTAGGTTTGTGATTATCACCATTGTATACGGATGGATGTTGTAGCGTGACTGCATGCGGAACGTAACTGCTTCCAGTTTCATTTAATGCCTCGTTACCGACCGTAGGATCTGCCGTACCAAGCACCCACGCTCTCAGCCGATTATCTATCGATACGGAGCTTCATCGGAACAATATCCATCAACGTTCGATGACTTCTCCTGCGTGTCGCCATATCAACCGCGTATGGCGCCGGTCAGCACGCAATTTCCGGCCGCAAGTCAATTTAAAATAATTATAGTAATTTTAAACTACATATACGGTAAACACCTACAACGGATCGATCGCTATATATATGCTAAAATCGTATATCGAAATCAACATCCTAGACCCATATTCTTATATATAGTGTGATTGCGTCGTGCGTAAACGAAAATTTGATCAAATTTAAACTAGAAAAACGTTTCTTGTAATTCTTTTGTATATATGTGTCTATTCGCTATAATTCTGCGATTTATATTCCGTATATATTTACGGATAGGTTCTAGTACATTTCGTGAGCATATATGATAAAGCAATGCGATCATAATTCAATCTTTATTAATTACCTACACATAATTTTTGTTTATTTTATTAATTATAATTGTTTATATATATATATATATATTTGTGCGTGTGGGGGTGGTTGCGTGCGTGCGTGCGTGCGTGCGTGAGCGTGTGTGTATGTGTGTGTATGTGTGTGTATGTGTGTGGGGGGGAGTTCACTGATTATCGCTATGTTAGCGAGATGCGGCGGAGGCGTGTCTTTCACGCATAGCCTAGCATAGCAATGGGCGATTTGCCAGAGTTGTAGAGAGCACCGCTCGCTTAGCTTGCTGTTAATAATGCGCCCCTGCGGCAGTGATACGCTGATTACGCGATATAACTCTTCAGATCGGCGAGGGAGTAATGATGTGTACGCAAACAGCACATCGAAGCACCGCGGTCGATGCGAGGAGGCAGGAGTGCGCGGCCAAGCAGACAAGGGTCAAGGGTCGGTCACGATCAGAAGCCAATGCAGCGATGATCATTTCTCTGCTGCCGCGCGGGCATTAGATATAGTAGTCACTACTGCGTTTGCTGCGTATACCACCGCTCTCCCGAGCCCGCCGTGCATCTACCCTACATACATACATACATACATACATACATACATACATACATACATACATACATACATACATACATACATACATACATACATACATACATACATACATACATACATACATACATACATACATACATACATACATACATACATACATACATACATACATACATACATACATACATACATACATACATACATACATACATACATACATACATACATACGTGGACCGAAGGTTGAATTCAACCTTCGGTCCAAC